AGTGAACCTGTTAAAATGACATATATATAATAACATTAACATTTCTCACATTATCGCCGATCTAAAACACATTCCGCGTTTACTCTTTTTTAAAGACTCTAGAATTGGTAAAATATGCATTGAGCTTTTTAAATTGTTCCCTAAAATGCCTACAGAGTAACTTAAACGTTAAAAATTCTTAATTTGTTCACAGCGTATAGTTCTTGTAGCAACCTGGACCATGCTCAGCGAGCATTTTTATGATTATATGGTTGGGATCTCAACCGTTTCCATGTTCTGACTCAAAGACAACGACCCCAATGACAGGACTAAACCTGATGGTCAAGTCCAGTAAAAGCAATTGTATAATCTTAATTATTTTTCATGTTAAGACAACAGCCAAAGTGCCCTGGGGTTTGGTCAGACCCGTCAGCCAATCCTGGTTGTATGATTATATTTATCATGTGATACCTAGCAATTGTTTTAATTGACTAAAATGTTTGTTCCGGGGAAAGGGCACAGATTAAGTGGACCTGACACTGAAGGTAATCCAAGTAGCATGCTTATGGTTATAAATGTCAGGGGTTAGGCCCTGCCCCTCACATTTGACAGAATAAGTTTAAGTGTTGGTTTTATTTTGCTAGGTTTGTTTGTGCTTTTTGCCATTAATAGCTATGGTCATTTAACGACAAACGAGGTTTTGGTGGTGGAGGGAAACCGGAGAATAACACCGACCTGCGAACAATACCTGGCGACTTCCCCACGTTTAATTGTATGCCTTGAGCCCCGCGACCCATTGACGGAGGGTTAGTGATAATAGATGGTCAGACACATTAAGCACTAGACCACCGCGGTTCCTAACTCCCTGGCTCAAATTATGGAATCAGCTAAAATTCCCAACCCATAATATTATAGTAATATATATCCAATCGTCTTCCTATAATGTTTGACCAATCACATTAAGACATGACAGAAACGGTCATGTTCTACTTGATAAGGTGACTAATATAATGGTATTTTCAGGTGTATCATAAGGGAATTGTCTTTTATAATGGTGTTTTATGTCCATTTGTGTTATTTTGCTGGTCGAATATATCGATAAATTCGAGTATTTCTTATCAAGAGTCACATAACTACTAAAGATTTACGTGACCAAAATCAAGGTTAGGTACATCATGTGTCGGGTAACCGCCTTTTCTCTTTTTTTTGAAAAACTTAGAATAAGTATTTGACATACACATGGATTAATGTTCGCGATCGTGAGCGTACTGAAAACGTGTGTTGGAATGGACAGGATTGTACTGTACACTTCCCTCTAATGTGCAACACGAAGCAATGACCGATGGGTATTTGTCTATGCTTTGCTCTGAACCCCCCGGGTAGGTCCCGAAAGGGCTGATCATTCTGGTGATGGCTATATGCTGCTTTGGAGTGTTTGCCATTACCCAATTCTCAGTATGGAAACCCCCCCCAAGGTATGGACCTGACCTCTCCATCCTTTCTAAGTTACTGGTCATAATCCAGCCATGTTGTACCTGTTCTCCTAGCCGCCATGTCGTGAACTACTTCCCCATGTTTTTAACACCAGTGGGATTTCTTTAGGATTTTTTTTCTGAATAAATGGTGACAAATCTTATGAAAGCAGTTGTCCATTCCTCAATTGTATTAAGTGCTGGCCTGTGTATGGTCTTGGTGACCCAAAATTGTGACCGGCCAGCACTCTGGAGCTGAATTCGAAATGCAGTGTTTCCATTTCGTAACTTTTGGCTTGGCAACAATTTTGCAAAATCAACATATATGTTTTGCCATATTTTGTTTTTGACTAGCAATTGGACATGACAATAGACCAGGAGAACAGGGATTTAGCTCATTATCAGAATCACTTTCAGAGACAGAGTCACTGTAACTACTGCTGCTGCTGGAATCTGCTATCATCCTCATCTGAACTTGATCATGAGGATGTAGGTGAATGGGGAAACCCTTCACCTCCGTTTCCTTTTGTTACCAGTATCTTTCTTTCTTGTCACTTTGTTGGGTGAAGGCATAGTTGACTGACTCAACTTCTTTGGCAGCGTTGTCTTCACCATCTGTAAACATTGTACAATAATCTCTGTATATGTATGATCAGTGAACTGATAAACCAAAGTATGCAACACCGTTGCACTGTAACACTGTTACGATCAAATACAAATGATACCACCATAATGCAACACCGTTACAATCAAATACAAATGATACCACCATAATGCAACACCGTTGCACTGTAACACCGTTACAATCAAATACAAATGATACCACCATAATGCAACACCATTGCACTGTAACACTGTTACGATCAAATACAAATGATACCACCATAATGCAACACCGTTACAATCAAATACAAATGATACCACCATAATGCAACACCGTTGCACTGTAACACCGTTACAATCAAATACAAATGATACCACCATAATGCAACACCGTTGCACTGTAACACCGTTACAATCAAATATAAATGATACCACCATAATGCAACACCGTTGCACTGTAACACCGTGACAATCAAATATAAATGATACCACCATAATGCAACACCGTTACATTTACCTATAAATGATACCACCATAATGCAAACACCGGTGCACTGGAACACCGTTACACTCACATATAAATGATACCACCATAATGCAATACTGTAGCACTGTAACACCGTTACAATCCAATATAAATGATACCACCATAATGCAATACTGTAGCACAGCTGTAACACCGTTACAATCCAATATAAATGAGATATGCAACACCTTTACCTTCAAATATTAATGATACCACCATAATGCAAAACCGTTGCACTGTAACACTGTTACTATCCAATATAAATGATATATGCAACACAGTTACATTCAAATATAAATGATACCACCATAATGCAACACTGTAGCACTGTTACATCGTTACAATCCAATATAAATGATATATTCAACACCGTTACATTCAAATATAAATGATACCATGGCCACCATAATGCAAAACTGTACCCCCATAATCGTTACAGGGAAATATCCAGTTATAATTATGCAACATTGCTGCTATGTAACACCGTTACAATAATATCTTAATAATATAAACCTTTATAATTATTTGACCTAGCTAGGTTTCTGATATGTCAAATTGTAACCATATATTACTATATCATGTGCAATTATTTACCACCGGTATAGATATTATAGTAAAAGACTTGACTGCTGTACCATTGTATAAAATTACTCCTCTAGAAAAAAATATTGGAAACCATGGCCGTGGGTCGAACCCGCAACCTTTAGATGACATGACCGACGTGATATCCACTACACCACCATGTCCGCTTTGTATGCTGTGTTATACTAAATGTAAACATGTACTTGATGAACCCATGATCAAATCACAAGCATGGG